AGGAAATAGATCTAATGCTCTTCTCACCTAATACACTGTGTTAATAGTTGCTACTTACTTCAATATCCCTATGCTTGAAAAATAAAGTGGATTTCATTTATGCACTACAGTACCTAGCAGAAAGTGCAATAAAATTATTTTCCCCTTATAAGAACACGCTGTAAAGGCCCATTAAGACATAATTACTGCCAAAAAGGCATTTTACATTTCCTTGAGATAAGCTGCACTAGTGTACTTTGAGATTTCACTTCCATTGATTCAGGATTAGAGCAGCATGTTTAGATAATAAGCAGAAGGGTCTCAGATAACAGCCTGAGTGAATCATCGGACTATAGCGTTTAGTCTGAGAAAGTGTGTTTATCTGAAGGGCTCTTGGGACTAATATGGTTCCTCTTCAAAGCTTGAAGCAGGGGGTAAGAATCATAGTCCTGCAGGTTGGCAGGATAAACATGTCCTGTGATTTGCTAGCAATTTGAGAGATGGATTTCAGTACAGAGCGCACTGTTGTTGTCAGGTTGAAAAGTGTCTGCCTGGAAATGAATTCATGTGCACACAACTCCAGACAAAGGAAAATCTCCCTGAAATGGCATGCCATCACATTTTAGGGCCAATTTTTCAAGTCTCTGACTCACACCTGGGAAATATACTGGTGCACTAAGTTTATCATAAAAAGCTCACGTTTTAGCAAACAAAAATTGGTGCAATAATCTCAGAATGTACTGCCTCGCTGACAGGTACTGAAACCCATTTTTCCACATACTCGCCTGCTTTGTATCTGAGAACAATTTTTGCCTCTTTTACATATCAGATCAGATTGTTTTTCAGTGAAGGGAACTCTGCTGCTCTTTTGGTGTTCGGCCTGAGGTCTATGCAGGGAGATTGGGGTAATGTGTCATACAGGGGGAAAGCTGTGGCAAGAATAAAAGCTCCTGTGTCAGTCAACAGTTTATAAATACAGCAGGAGAGATAACTGCTGTGCGTGCTCCATGAGGAGCATACTTCTGGGCTCCAGAAGTAGCAACATATTTTTAAGCTAGAAAAGAGGGTGAGAAAGCGTAAATGAGCGAACAGAAGGTTTCTATAACTCTGTGTGGAGGCTTTTTGTGCTCGGTTGGAGCAGTTGGGGGTTGTCACTCTCTGAGAATAATTGTGAGGGAACTGAATGCAGAATAAAGCGCTGGAGGGCTGAATGTCCTTTTGCTTGCACCTGTAAGTTTGCTGGAAATCAAAGATTTTGTGTCAATTTGGATTAAATGTATGTAAAAGCAGATTATTTTTATGGCGCGTTGGTTAAGAAAAGGGAAACCCCAGAATTACCTCCCCTAGCACTGCTTCCGAACTCAATGGACATGGGTGAATTTTAAGGGAAAGTTACTAAAAAAATGTCCCATATGAGTAAACAAGGAAGTTCATGCTATCCTTATGGATACTAATTTGCATTTGCAGATTTCCATCAAATTCGTCCTATGCACTCCACATGCCAGATTGCAGCTAGCCGTGGGAGTTAAAAGCTAAAAAATAAACTTCCTCATTTTTATAAATATGATCTCAATCTCACATTTAATGTGTTTGGCTTTATTTGCTTCTTTATTTTTATTTTTTTGTTTGTTTTTAATTGAAATGTAGATGCAAAAATAAAAGTTTTGGATTGAGAATAATACTTCTAGTTAAAGAGCCAAAGGCATCATTGATAGCTAACCAAAGGAAATACTGACAGCTTCTTCTGCATTCGATTGTGGCACTGGAAAATACTGCCAGCATCAATTTTTTGTTCATTCCCTTGCAGCACACCACATTTACAAGCTTTTTTGGTAGGAATAGCTCAGGTTTGGTCTGTTTATGACAATCCAGCTACCAGGAGCTACATCAATACCTGCTCTGGAAACTCTCTGAGGCAAACATATTCTGTCTGAAGCTGATTGGGATGAGAAAACACAGGCTGCCCAACAGGCAGGTGTAGAGGGTGGTGAAAAGCAGGTGTAGTGAGTTCAGTGAAGCAAAACTGCTTGCACCAGCCCTTACATTCTTGAAGAAAATGCCTCTTCTTGTGCCTTTGGTGGAAAAGCAGTATTGGAAGAGCACAAAAGGACAAACAATGGTGCAGAAAAGATGTATTCAGAATCCATAGAACATCAGTTTACTTCCTGAGATGAGCAATTGGTCTATGCTATAGTGTCAATGTACATACATAGGAGAAAAATCAGTAATTTGATGAGTAAGTTTGTTAATGTTTCTGGTTTTTGCATTGTTTGAATTTTTTTGTTGTTGTTGGTTTGGTTTTTTGTTTTTGTTTTTTTTGTTTGTTTTTGTTTGTTTGTTTGTTTTGGTTTTTGTTTGTTTGTTTGTTTTTCTTTTTTTTTAACTTCAGAAAGTTGAGAACATAAATGTATTTTTGAAGCACCATTTATGTTTTAAGGGTTTCAAATTGGACCTACCAGTTAAATTTTTGAAGATTTTTATGCAATGTCAGGTATAAAATCACATGTAGATTTTAAAGTCTAGATTTGACAATTAAAAACTGTGTTATTTATTAGTAGTTAGTTCGGTCAGTGTTGAAATTCTTAATTAGTCCATAGGTACAGAAGGGAAAAGAGAAACATATTTGTTGAAACACATCCTCCAGCACAACAAAATATGTTAAATTCATTCAGTTTCTCTATCGACTTCTTGTTTCCCAATTTTAGCTCCTTGATCTCCTGAAGTGATTAAAGTCATTATTCAAAGTTGATGATGAAGTATTTATGATGGTGAGGACACCCAGGCAAATTAGTTTTACACTGCCTGATTTAGAAGCTATCTCTGTGCCATCTCCAATTTGACATAAAACCCAGGGGAATAAAAACAACCAGGTACCATCAAGGCACACATGAGCAGCAGCACAAATGGGTGCTTTGGATTTTTACCCTGAGTCACCAAAGTCAGAGCAGAATTTGTGTGAGCTTCAGTGAGAGCACCATTAAGTCCTCTGTGAAGAAAGAGCCTATTTCAGCTACTGACTTCAATGGGAGTTGGATTAGGTCTTGATTTATTCTGGAGCTGTGTAGTGAAGATAAGAGAGGCAACAAATCCAGAGGCATCTGCAAAGACAAGCAGCTAAATCCAGGACACTTAGAACGGACAGCTCCTGAAAAATTGTGGGGAGGGAAAGTGGGAAGAGCTTCCTAGTTACACTGGAGACATGTTTTGGTGAGGGCAATCCACACTGGAACAACAGAAGAATTTAAACCAGAGATTTGCTCATATCAAATCAACTTGGTTGGTTCATCTCAACATTTCAACAGAAGTAAAATAGCTATGCCCAGGCTGTAAAATGCCCTGGGATGATAAATCTCCTGAGTGTGGTGCTTCTGCCATAGGCTTGCTACAAAAAAGGAAATGATGAGGCAACAGGGGAGGTTTAGATTGGACATGAGGAAAAATTTATTTTCTGAAATTATTATCAAGCCCTGGCCCAGGATGTCCGGGCAGTGGTGGAGTGACCACCCCCTAAGGGATTTAAAAAATGTGTGTCTGTGGTACTTGGAGACATGGTTTATTGGTGGGCTTGGAAGTTTTGGGTTAATGGTTGGACTCAATGATCTCAAAGATATTTTCCAACCTTCAAAAGTCTATGATTCTGTGAAATATCTACACCAAGATTCACTACATGCCATGGACCTCTAATATTGTAGATGTTTTGCTTCCTAATAGAGATAAAACTTAGAAATAAAACTCCAGCTTTTTTCTACTCTTGTTCTCACACCTTTTCACTAACTGAATTATCCTGATTTCTTTTCTTACGTGGTAGCTGCCTGTTCTGAAAAAATGCATAACCTTGGCAATTGGAACCTCCTCCCATAAATTAAGAATGCGGTTTAGTTCTAGCCTTTTAATATTATTTAAAATTTTCCTAAAATTTTTAAAATAATGAAAAAATTGTACACGTGAAAATGACTGACAACAGCTGAACTTTCTTTAAATTTCTGGCAGATGCAGCAGATTTCATTTGCCACTGCATTTGCAGTGCCCAGCTTAGGTGCATTCAAACATCTGGGAAGCTGAAAACAAGGTTACAAGTCTTTTGCTTCCAAATATTTCTTTGTTTACTTCAGTAGGGTTAGATTCCTTGTTGGTTATCTTGTGCACACACACAAAACTTGAGAAGCTACAAAAGCCTTCAAACAGACCCTGAGACACACCTGAGGAAAAGAGACACACCTGAGGAAAAGATCAGCAAGTGGCAGCACTTTGATTAAACAGCAAAAATACCTTGAGGTGGAAAGGAAATGAACTGAGTCAGGTAGAAGAAATTATTCCCTGGCTGATGTTCACACAGCAGACAGGCTGTCATAGAAATGGCAGAATCAGGGGAAGGTTTGGGTTGGCAGGAACTTTAAATTTAATTTCATTACAACTCCTTTCCATGGGCAGGGACACCTTCCACTATCCCAGGTTGCTCCAAGCCCCATCCAACCTGACCTTGGACACTTCCAGGGATTGGACAGCCACAGCTTCTCTGGGAAACCTGCATTTGTAACACTGTGTGTCACTTTTGGCATTAAGATTTTTTTTTTTTTTTATGGGTGAGCATTTGATATTTAGATATAATGCAGAGAGAAGACAAAATGTAACAAAATACTTAGTCTACAAGTAGACCAGAAAATTCTTGTAATACATATAGAAAAAGAGAAATGAGAAAGACATAAGACAATCAACAGAGAATTTATTCATTTCATTATTGTGATAGATGTTCCTGCATACAAGAGAAAAAAAACAAACATCTTTTTATCTATTGCTCATTTCAGCGTGCCTGTCTCCTCTGATGAGATTTGGAAGTTATACTGTTCTATACTGCAGCACTCCTTTAATCTTCCCCTTTGTTAATTCCTCTATGTTATTCTGCTACTGCTTCTTTTATGTTTGAATAAGGAACTTTGTTTTCAGCACTGTGACCCATGTCTCTGAGGTTAAAATCTTTGAATTCATCTCAGATTGAATGGCCAAATTGGAAAATTACTCACCTGTCCAGCAGTGTCTAGAATGTCCAAATAGGCTGGCTCATCATCAATTCTGACTTGAGTTTTATAGGCATCCTCTGAAAAACACAGTGCAGTTTGCTTCAGCATACGAGTGGCTCAAAGAATTGAAAATGAAATGGCTTTGCTAATTTGGAGTAGGCTTTTCAAAAGCTCTCCCATCTGACCTAACATTGCTTTATTTCAAAAGTCCCTTTCTGAAATCCTATCATCTCTACAATGTATTAGCAAAAGAGAGTCACTTCTATCACATTAGGTCAATATACAAAAATTAATTTTTCCTGTCTTTAAAAGGGAAACATTTGCCTTTCTCTAAACACAGACCCCAGGTGTTACTTTGGTCATAAAGATTCTGAGGTGTTATGCTGGTGCAGTGCAACAGAGTTCTTATTTACTTACCACAATGACACATTCAAAGAGGTTTTTTTAGCAAATATTTTCAATTTAAAGATTATCTACATTTTTGGAATAGATTCCCTATGTCTGAGCAGGGTCCTATCTCAGGTATGTCAGAGAAATTATATAAACTTCTGTGTATATCCAGAAAGACTGAGAATAAGCTTCTTAAAAGTAAATTCTGTAATCTGTGTCCTCACACTTATCATAGATGCAGGCAGAGGAGGAGAAACTCTTCTTTGTGGACCCTTCCCTTACCTCATGATTTTGTCAACTAAATTTAGAAGAATAAAAACAAAGAAAAGGTGAACTATTATTTGCACATGCTGTTTTCCTCACATTTCAATTTAATTCCCCTCTCAACATTTGTATTGTCTTTGTAAGATTAAAAAGCGTGTAGATACTGGCCCATGTTTATACTTGAAATAGTCTTGGAAATTATCTGTGCTCTTTAATTGAACAATCATGCAGAGCAGCCTGAGTGGTTTTTGTGACTGACACTGTGCTCTGGAAGTGCACTGAGGCGTGAAGACAAGACAAGTGCATTTGTTGTAGCTGAGAAATTGTTGTTAACCACTGTGAGCCTGTGGCTGGGCTGTCCTGAGAGTCAGTCCTGGCAGAGACCCTCAGCAACAGGCTCTCAATCACTGCTGAAATATTGAGATTATAATATGGGATTATACGGCAGGTTGTTGGAATTCTTGGGATGTTCCAGTTTGTGCCATAATAATATATTTTCCACCATAACACTTTATAAAAGCGTGGAAAAATCTGATTTCTACCAGCAGAAGGAAAAAAACCTAAATCATTTGGATACAAATCTGTATAACTTTAACTCAGACCCCTCCTATACAGCCAAAAGATTGCTGTCTTTTATGACGTAGTCACATCATATATTTTCCTCTTTATTTTAGGCTTCAATTTAGCAAATAGGCACATGACTTTCTTTAAACAAATACCTAATCCCATTGATATTAAGATGGCCCAGAGGCTTAATTAAATGTATATTATATTACCTTGCTGAGAAAACCAGAACACTCCAACCACCATATGTTTTGGTTAATAGATCTTTTTTTAGGGATTGCTGAATAAGAAACTGTATGGCAAAGAGGGACCATGTAAAGGGATTTGGACTACCTGCAGTTTAAGTAATTTATTGTTGTATGACAATGTGGTCTACCTGCAGTTGATTTTTTTTCCTTTTTATTTTTTTCTTCGTTTTTGTTAACCAAATATTTAAAGTAAAATGGTCAAATATGAAAAATCATATATGACATTTCCTTCACATGAATTCTATTGATACTATCAAGTATTATTAATCTACTTCCATGCAGGTGGGTGTCCATTTGCATTACATTACTGTGTACATATTTATCATATGACTTCCATAAATTTAGGTTTCATTCTTGGCTCTGCAGCTGGACACCAGTAGTCCTACTTCCCTTTTCACTTAGACCAATATGAATCCTTATACAGAAGTTTTAAAACAGTTTATGTGGTGAAAAATTCTCCTACTTAAATTTTTCTTGGATAAAAACAAAGCTAGATAAATCCTGTCTTCTGTTTTTTTCCAAGGAAAGGACTTACAGATTCAGAGTTAGTTATAATAAAAGACCCATTGGCCTCTGAATATAAGCTTTCAGTAAGTAAATGTAATATCTACCCTGCTGAGCTACTCCAGGTATACCCTGATATAATGTCACTGCCATCAGTAAAGTTTCCACTCTTAAAAGCTGGAGCCAGAATATCTTTGTAATATTTTTTACTTTGCAAACATAACACTGAATGCATAAAGACATTTTGTCATTTTCATTTATTCTCCTTCCCTATCTACTGACCTTGAAACATTTCACAAAAGAGTGTTAGAATCACTGTCCCATTTTCACTGTTGATGTATGCTGATGTCTTCAGCTGGTGGTAGAGGAAGATGTTTTGTTATGCTTTGACCAACTGCATGAATGTAAATGGTTGTCTAGGCAGATGCTTTTCACATGTAAGATTTGCTTTTGCCCCAAGGAATGTAGAGATGAAACAGGAAGGAGATAGGAGTTTCCTTTGTAACATTCTCTCTGCCTGTGTTCAAAAAGCAGGATAGTACAGATAATAAAGAGGAGCCTAAAAACTGTGCTCAGCTGAGGTGTGATAAGCAGGGGTATTTTCAACCTGCATGTAGATGGAAAATAGGAGTTTTTACCCGTAATTTTCTTCACGTACACACATAAGAGGAAGTCCTAAAGTGCACACTCGCCAAAGAAATCAGTCTTGAGCCAACACACCCTTGCACCAGAGAATAAATCATAGCACCCACCCATGAGCTATCACCTTCTTAATGTCCAACACAGTCACTCTCTTGAGGGGCACTGCCTTTCCATTTCCCTGTGGATCTCCTGGGCATTTCATTCCTTCCAAGGCAGCAGGCAGAAGCAAGATGCATAAATTGAAATGCATGTTTCCCATATCATGTCACAAAGACCAAGAGGAAGAGCTGTACCACTTAGTTCTGCTCTACAATCAATACTTTTAAACTGGGATTTCATCTCAGAAATAGTAATGTAATAGTAATATAAATAGAGGTATAATTCTCTTCTCTGTCTATTACATGGGCAAACATCTTTATTTTATTCAAACTCTGAGGCAGAGGCATTAACCTGGAAAGAAACCACTTCCTAGTAATCAAGAGTTGGATAAATCCATATCTTGAACCCATATTTTTGTCTCATTGGTAGCTATGAGGTTAAGCAGAAATCCTGGTATTTATACACATTTCCCAAAGGATTTCAGAAGGAACTACTGTGTGGCTGGTTTTTTAAGTCCAGGCATCATGGTACAATTTAAAATCATGGTAAGGGAAGTTCTGAGACCTTTCTGTAAAGAGCAGGAACAAGCTGCTAACAAGTGGACAGAAAAGAACAGAGGCAAAGATGTTCCTCTGAAACAGCATCTAAATGTATATGAAACAAAGGGGGAAAAACCTTCATCAGGAACCCTAATAAACTCACACTCTAATATCCTCCCTTTAAAAATTTTCTGCATTACAAATGGTATCTGGTGTAGCTGCACTACTAGCAATGTTTGAGTACACCACACTTTCTTTCACCTAATTAATTTATAATGTGAATATAATGCTCCCTTTAAAGCTAATTTGGGGGCTGCTACACCACGTGTATCTATACTTAACACCCTACAACTCTAAGGAGTGGTATTTAACAAAAGGTCAAAATCCATCTGCTATTTCAGTAAAACATTAAAAGAACATACAAAATAGACATGAATGTTAATAAGACATCAGACAATAAATCAGATTACAACTATATTGTTCATATTAAGCTCAGGATAAGTCTTTTTCTATGAGATTAATTGTAAAGGCCCAGCTTTTTGGTTTGGGCAAAATTCTGTAGAAGAGTAGATTATTACATGAAAAAAAACTGTGGATGGAGTTTACTGATATTGCTAATTGTGTTTCAAACACTGACTGTAAGAATAAACACTTTTTAGGGTACCAAAGAGAAAATAAAACAAAACACCCACATCCTTGTAAAGTGAACAATACATGGATATATATGAACTGCACAGTTAAAGATAATTTATTTTTTATTTTTCCTACATATAATGTTGCTTTTGTTAGAATCTTATTTCCTACAAAGATTAAAAATAAAAATTAAGATAGATACAAAATTCTTCTCAGAGGATGATATTATATGGCTTCAATGAATACTGACTGTTTAATGTATTTCTGAATGGGGCAAAACAAATAGAGATCCAACTGTTTTCTGAATGGTACCTATTTCTTTTTAATTTTAAATTCTTTCCTCCTTTACTGAATATCTAAATTAAACCAAGAAAGGCTCTTGGAAGGCTGTTTTGTTTTTTGGGTTTTTTTGTTCATTTGGTTTTTTGTTTGGTTGTTTTTTTGTTTTTTTGGTTTTTTTTTGTTTTGTTTTGTTTTGTTTTGTTTTGTTTTTGTTTTGTTTTGGTTTTTTTTGTTGTTGTTGTTGGTTTGGTTTGGTTGGTTGGTTGTGGTTTTTGGGGGTTTTTTTGGTTGTTTTTGGTTTGTTGTTGTTTTGTTTTGTTTTCTTTTGTTTTAGTTTTTTGTTTGTTTTTATTTTGGTTTTTTTTTGTTTTTGTTGTCTTAACTTCTTTTTTTCATTTTATAACTGCTTATTGCAGTGTTAGGCAAAGAAAGAAAAATTCTTTATGTTTTATGTTATCAGGTTTTTTTTGTTTGTTAGTTTGTTTGTTTTTGGGGGGTTGGTGTGTGCGTGTAAAATTAATGCATGATCTTTTTTCAGAGTTCTTTTTATAGGACATAATTCTGGAGACAGAAATACAGTAATTAATGCAAGGTTGTGTTATGATCAGTTATCTTAGAGAAGCTCAATTCTTAAAAAATATATCAAAGTACTCTTTTAGTTATGAGCAGGTAACTGCTTCACAACAAAGAGATTTGAATGATGTGCAATTTAAAGGGCAGTTATAATGGGTTTTTCATCTGCATTACAGACATATTCCAGTCCCTGAGATATAGATCAGATGCTTCTTTTTTCCATTTGTTAATTCTGCTTCTATACCTATTAAATAAAATCTCTCTTCTTCTCTGTCTTGTACAATACCAGCAACAGTAAAAAAATATCAGATTCAAAATTGCATTCAAAAATTATCAGAT